ACACACACACACACACTTGAATTCTTATCTTTGTGGGGACTCTCCATTGATTTCTATGGGAACAACTCTAATCCCAACATAACGACCTTAACCCCTGCCCAGCCCTAACCTTAACAACAAGTAACCAAACAAAACATAAGACTTTTGACATTTTTTTTAGGTTTTTGATTGTTGTCACAGATTTTTTATAAAATTGAGGTATATATTGAGGAGACCTGAAAAAATGTCCCCACATGCTAAAAAGTTACGGATTTTACCACATTTACGGCCCACACACACACACACACACACACACACACACACACACACGGGTGCCTGCTCAGGCCAACAGCTTACTCCCATCGATACCTCGGAAGTGTAGTCCAGTTTGTTTCCTTGAATCCGATTAGCTGCTTTCGGGATGTATGCTAATTACAGACTGGGTTGGGCATCTCTCCCCTTCCTCCCCCCCCCAACTCGGCTTGGCCTCGTCAGCAGAGCGGGGCTAATCTCCACAGACGGGCTGCGGGCTGTGAGTGGACTGAGGGCCCGTGATATCGGGCACCCAGAACGGGGCCACGTCGCGTTTGGCCCAGAGCAGCCGGCGCCACATCGCTGGGCACTTTCATGCATGCTGCTCCTTCTTTTGGAACAACTTTCCATTTTTCAGAGCCAGATCTGCCCCCCTGCTATAGGGTTTGGCCGTCTTGAACCTCTAATAGCATATCAAGCTTTGTTGTAGTATGTTTTTAGTCACCGGATAACATTTAATAAAAAAAAAAAAACAGTTATGAAGACTGTGCCTCACTGTGACAGTTTCCGCACCCCAAACACATCAATAAATATACGTATAATGTGCCTGCGACAAGCACTGATCGATTCCTGCACTAAAAGAACAGCCTCAAAGATCTAATTCAAGCTTTACAAACCTTTATAAATCTCTAACACGGAGACAAATTAAATGTCAAACTTTGTCTGAAGATCCTGGCAGGAGTTGAGATCCTCAAGTATCAAGCAAGTCTTTTTAATGGCCTGGCAGATTAAAAAAAGAAAGAAAGAAAGAAAGAAAGAAAGAAAAAAAAAACAAGGCCAAAATGCCATAATGCAAAAATGATCAGTGCTGACATCTGCCTTGAGCAGAGTCCAGACCAAAAGCCTTCCCACCAAATTGTCCTGTGTATGAGGAATATCCCTGTTATATTTTCAAGATGAAGAGGAAAACAGGCCACTATTCAACCACACTCTAGCACCGTCTGCCACCAAAAGTCACTTGACAGCAAGTTATAACAACATTTTTCTTCATTTCTATGATTTTATGAACGCGGCTGTCCCGGGGATGAACAAGAGAATCTGTTTATCTACCGGAGATGTAACTCCACAGTTTGGCTGAATTAATGCTCCTCATTTACTCTGAAGCCTTTTCTCCTCCTAGCTTTTCTTCTGGACGGCTAGCAGGAACACCTGGCGCTGTTATTCATGGGGCAGGGCCCGAAAACAGGCTGCTCCGCTTTGGAAAACGTAACCCTATGAAAAGCGTCCGAGTCAAGTTCCATCCTGACAGTAAAGGCTGCTGGTTTGTGTTTCATTACTGGCACATAAAAAAACGCACACTTCAGGTTTTTTCTTTAATAGTGGAGGGTGTGTGCAGCACTTGCAGGTACCAGTGCGTACCTGCGAAGCCCATCAGCATCACGGCTGACAATGACACTCGCTTTTTGCTTTTTTTTTGCACAATGCGAGAAAACGGATTGCTCGATTTCCTGCTCACGTTCGTTCGGTATACGGGCGCTGTGTTTGTTATGAAGAGCTCTACGAAAAAAAGAAGCTAACAGTCTCACTCACACATGCACACATACGTGCACCCACACACATATATGTGTACATGGCTTAATGACGCACAGCTGCCTGCTGTTTGGGAAAGACTTCGTTAAAAAAAGCAGCTAACTGGGCGACAAAGTGGAGAACACATACAGGAAGCTGTGGTTTTCCACCTGTGAAAATCTGTTTTATTTTCCCTTTACTTTCAGATCCGTCCTCATACAGACCACACCCCAAAAATATAATATTGGATGCACATGTAGCTCGAGACATCACAATATGGAAATGTCATTTTTTGAACCGAGGCTTTGTTCTGTCGCGAGACCGGATCTGTTTTTAATTGACTCTTCCGCGCTGCCTCCCATTCAGCAGGCAGAGCTTCTCAGAGTTGCCCTTTCATGTTTTTGCCCACTGTGGCCCCCGGAGCCGCTTCAGTCAGCCGTCGCGCTGGGTGTCCTATCTGTTCCCACGGGGGAGCCCCTCCACATCTCTCCAATTACCTGGCAGCCTGGAGAAGGTCAGGGAGGAAGCCTTGCCATCCCGCTAAAGCTGCAGTTCAGCCTAGCGCTCCAGGGGTAAGGTACCCCTTAGATATGGCACTTAGATGGGTCAGCCCTTTAAATATCCTACTTAAACATAAATGCCAAGTTTTTCACCTTTCAGGCACCTACTCTGTCATACCTGGATTTGAATACTGTGGGCTGGAAGGAGACAACAAAGCTACTTCAACGACACCCGCCGGCACCCATTAAAGTGACACACCCCCTTCATTCCAAGTAGCCAATCAGCACAGCAGGTAAGTGGTAGTTAAGAACATGGCCACCTAACCTGAAGGTCCTGGGCTTCAATCCCCAGGAAGGGCTCTACTGAAGCTTTGTTAAACATGCTCCTTAACTTAAACTATTCAAGCAAAACACCCAGCTGTTAGAACTGGGCAAGAACTGTAGGTTCACTTTGAATGAAAAGTCATCAGAGCAGCTAAAAGCTTGCATTTTATTCCGCCGAGAGCTGAATTACCTCCCAGGGCAAATGCTTGATCGACTTTGCAGCCCTCAATGGAAAGCGAATGCTTGAGACCACAGACTCGAGTGGAAACGGGGAGATCTCTGAAAGCGATACACCCCCACTCGTCTTTAACAAGCGCACATTAATTACTGGTGTTCAACATGCTAGTGCTGACATGCATGAACTAAGACCCCATTTCCTTCTGATTAATTCCGTCAGCAAGAACCATCTCTTTCCAAACCAGAGGCAGGGGGTGTTCCGAGTTGGCATGTCGAAAAGGTACCTGCCAGGAGAGGTGTCGAACTTTGATGACGGCACGTACGCGCCTGTTTATGTTCCCAATCGCTCTGGATCACCAGGGAAGTCATCATGGAGACAAAAGTCCCGCGTGGCATTGATGACAATGGCACCCCCAGTGACTGACATTGCCGCGCGACGTCTCAGCAGCAGCTGGAGAGGAACCGCTTTGACACACACACCACTTCTGCCAGTCATCAGGTTTTCTTTTTTGATCCCTCCCTCTGCATCCCCCCCTTTCTTTAGCTCCCTTCCTCTGCCTCCCCCTTTTTAGTCCCCTTCCTCTGCCTCCCCCTTTTTAGTCCCCTTCCTCTGCCTCCCCCTTTTTAGTCCCCTTCCTCTG